AAGGCATCGACGTGGTCGTTGAGGTCGAAGGACCCATCATACTTGTCTAAAGGGGGGAGTTTGAAGTCTCTGGGCATGGGGACTGCGAGGAGTTCTGATGAGAGGGGGGAAGGAACTGAGAGAATAGGGGCAGCTTTTACCTCGTCCGAACTTGTCTCTTCTTTACCTCTGAGTTCGGGCAGGACACAGGTGGCAGTTCGGCAACTTCGCCGGCGTCTTCGTTGCTGGGTGGGCCTGGTACTGGCGCTGTTGGCCTCTGTGTTGCCGAGCTCGATGGGCCCGGACTGTTGGTAGTCCGCTGCTAGGACGTTGAATCGGTTCTTTGTGAGCGGGAGCTCTGGCTTGGAGCGCCGAGGTGTTGACTTGGCAAGCGAGGTTCCTGACCCATTGGCGAGCTGCAAGGCGGGGGTGATTTTTCTTTCCCTCCGGCCTGGGAATGAGGCCTGGCTGTTAGGGGGGTTCTGAAGTTGGGAGGCTTCTCCTCGGTGATGGCATCCACCCTGAGGGGAGGGCTTAACCGACTTTGGAGCAGGATGCCGAGGTGAAAGCTGTGGTTGGTTTAGAGGAGGCAATTGGGGGAACTGCTACTGATAGTGATATTGAGAGAGGTGGTGCAATACTTGGTGCTGCTGGAGCTGATGCTGCTGGAACTGCTGCATTTGGGCTTGCATTGCCCGCATGCACTGCATCAAGTCGTCAAACTGGCTCTGGCTAGTCGCCAGGGGGACAACAGTTGGTTCGGTAAAGGTTGTCTCGACAGGGAGAGGAAGGGGGACATTCACGGCGGGAAAGTTCACTGGCGCATTCAGGCTGGGGATCCCATCCACCAGAAGGGGGATGGTGAACTGTCCGATGCACACCACAGGGACTTGAAGTTGTTCCCCGGGGGCGTTCATCTCCGTGCTATGTCTGACATTGCTGGAAGAAGCCATGAGTGTTGGGGTTTTTTGGAAAAAAGGGGTTATGAGAGTTTTAGAGGGAGGCTTTTAGAAGCGTTTCCCACAGACGACGCCAATTGATGGTGCGCAATCCGGCCGGTCCTAGCTGTCAAAGATCTTGCCTCGGGCTGGAGCAAAAGGTGCCTGAAACGGAGGAGAAAGCGAGTAATCTCCGGGGAAGAACCCGGTGAGAATGCTCCGAAGCTCAAGTTTGTTTTTCCTCAAAGGCAAGATAAAACCAGATGGCGCAAAGTTATCACATACCTCTCTTCTTGGGGGGAAGGGGGCCTTTTATAACCACTTCGCGCACTCACTCCTAAGCTTCTGTCAGGTCGGGTATGATTACCTCTGCGCTTCTGCCAGTTCGGGTGTCATCACCTCTGCTGGGGCAGAACCGCCACTGCTCTCTTTGTCGGAGCTGTCTCTATAACTGGAGATGGCGGTGGTAGGTGGCCGTTGAAGTGCGGCTGTCAAGTGTCAGATCCCAAGTCAGTCAGGTGYGCCGCCTCAGGATACGGACTCCTTCGGTGTCAGGTACGGTACGGTTGTTCAGTTCGGCGTCYTGGAGGYGAAGTGCTGGAGTGGTGTGCGAGGTGAAGTCTTGAGTTCGGATAGAGGTGTGGCCCGAACTGCCATGGGGCGGGCCAGTTCGGGTTGTTGCCCTTTGTGTTCGTAAGGCTCGGGGTCTAAGGGAGAGCTCGGGCTCCTTGCGGAGAGTTCAGGCTCCTTGTGGGGAGTTCGGACCGCTGGTTCCTCCTTTCGGAGCTCGCGCCTTGGGCATGCTGTTGTGCCGAGTTGTTGCCTTTGCCACGTGTTGAGTGGTTACGAGGTCTGGCCAAATCTTCTTTCATCAGCATAGAATGGAATTTACTTGAGAAGGTGTTTCAAAAGTTTGGCTTTCATGGCAAATGGATTAAGTGGATCATGGCCTGTTTAAAGTCGATGTCTTGTCGGATTTTGATTAATGGCTCTCCCTCGGATGTCAAGAGGGTGAAGTGGCTGTTCCTAGAAGCCTAATTGGATGCCAAGTCTTTAGACAAGGTCCTTGCATACCAGGCAATGTTTTAAAAACCAATTCGGAGGCCGAACTGTTTTTGCCTCCAGGTCGTGGGTCGCCGATTCGACTGGCTGGGTCGAACGGTTCAGACCATGCCACATCAGCGCATATATGTATTAAGTATACACACATATGTGTGTGTAAATAATAAATATGTTTTAGATATGTTATATGTATTATTTTATGTTTTTAATTTTGTATTTATAAAAATATTAAAATTTATAATTTGAGGCCAAAAAAGGGGTTTTTTTTTCACGAAAATAGCGGGGCAAGGCGTCTACGGCATCTTGGGACGCATAGATCTTGAAAAGTTACCCAAAATAAAAAAAACCCAATCAGAAATCGGAATGCAAAGTTATGGCCTCCAAAAGTTTTGCGTGTATTGATTGTGCAACCCGCGACCCGGTCACTGGGTCGAACGGATCAACGGTCGAACCAGCCGGGTCAAACGATTCTTAACCAAGTAAACAGTTTTTGACCATCTGACGGGTCTTAACTGAACCAAACCCGGAATCCTGACCAGGTGACGGTTCGATTGGCCGGGTCAATGGCGGGTTGAAAAACATTGATACCAGGTTTACAATTTGCAAATGAGATTCCAAGACAATTTATTGTCGTTGCCTGATCTACTCAACAGAGGAGGACTTCAAGGTAGTAAGATTAGCAGATATGGAAAAAAAATAAGATGATAGGTCTACTCACCAAAAGCATCTCAGAGTTCTGAACCTCACCTGATCTAAGCTGCTTTTTTGTTGAATATATTTCTGAAACCAGATTTATCTGATCTAAGTTGCTTTGTTGTTGGATGTATCTCTGAAACCAGTTCCGTGAGAGCTTCGTTTACCTCTGATCTAAACCCTCTTTTCCAGATTAATGGCTTTCTCATTGGTTCTAAGCTCCTACGTTACCATCATAATACCAAATCTGTTGGACTTCACTGTATCCGTTGGAGTCCAGTCAAGCTAAATAGGAGAGGTGGAGCAACAGGGTTTGTTCCTCTGTCAAACACTGTAATAAGAAGTTGGAGATTGAAAATTTGTTTTTGTTTTAGAAAACATAATTTTGATGGTTTCAAAAATATGACTGTTATTTTCACCTCTCAAAACAAAAGCAGAGTTGAAGAACATTATTTTGTTTTTTTGATGATGTATCAGTTCTGAAAACAAGTTAAAGCAAAAACATTCTCATTATTGAACACCCCCTTATGAGTGGACCCAAGCTCGGATTCAAGATGAGTCTCAGCTAGCATGGGCTGATTCCTCTTCTTCTTCTTCTTCTTCTTCTTCTTCTTCTTTTGTGGATTGGCAACTTAGCTAGCTCAAGTCATTTACAGCTGTAACTTTAACTGATCATACTATGGCATTTTTTGTTGCAATGTTTCCACAATGTTGCTTCAACAATTTTTTGAGGTGTTATCAGGAAAAGTAATTGGTCTGTTTCTCCTTTTTACGGGTCCTAATTTTCCCTGGACTTAAGGCTCAGTTTGGAAAGAGTACAAATACGAATATGTACAGTGCAAATACATAAAAATAATACAAAATACAAGGTTTTGCACTCTACAAATTTGTATTTGTACTCTTTTCCAAACTGAGCCTAAAGTTTTTGTATAATTTGTATCAACCGTATGTTTATTGAGTATTTGGACTGCTTGTTAAGCTTAGATCATAGGAAAAAGCTGAAAACCTTAATCTAGAGTTATGTTGAATATTAAGAACAAGAATGGCCTTGAAAAATTCAAAATGGCTGTTTATTACCAGTAATCCATGCAAGAACAGGAACCTCCTCTAAAATGATGAAATCTGTTCCGGTCTCTTACAATTAGTTCCCGGCCAAAGACCTTGGAAACCAGCTTTGTGGCTGTATGGCAGTCTTCACATACTCTCAGATTCTTCACGATCCGGAGTGGTGTATGGTTTTCGGTCTTCATCATCCCAAAGGCTATTGCAAGCTTCTCACTATGCCTGTATAACGCACTCTCCTTCTCCTCCTCATCTATGTCAAAAAGAACATCTGCAGTATTCTCTGTGTATCCTGCCATTCTTATTCTCCTAACAATCTCTTCCCACATTGCTTCAATCTTCTCAATCTCCAGGTGTGATTTATCCCCTATGGTGAAATGGTAAACAGTATCACCTATCTCTATCAGACTGTACCCAGGCGGTTTCTTAATTCCTCTTTCCTTCATTATCTGCCTCAGTTGTGTAACATTATCCCACTGGTTTGCACGAGCATAGATGTTTGAGAGGAGCACATAATACCCACTATGACATGGTTGCAACTGAATCAGAATCTTCCCCACTCTTTCCCCGATTTCTGTATTTCTGTGAATTCGACAAGCCCCAAGCAGTGCTCCCCAAATTGGAGCATTAGGTTGCATTGGCATTTTCCTTACAAAATCTTCAGCTTCTTCCAATTTCCCTACACGCCCAAGAATATCAACCATGCACCCATAGTGCTCTAGCCTCGGTTCTATTTCATACTCCCTTTCCATGCTCTCAAAGATTTGGAAACCCCTGTCCACCAACCCCCCATGGCTGCAAGCTGATAGAACTGCTGTGAAGGTGATGTCCCTTGGTGTTATACCTGTCTTCAACATCTCTGAGAAGTATTCCAGTGCTTTGTCTGCATGGCCATGCATGGCTAGTCCTGCTATTACGGCTGTCCAACTCAGTGTGTCCCTTTCAGGCAGTTCTTCAAAAACTCTAATAGCTTTTTGAATACTTCCACACCTCGCATACATGTCCACAAGAGCTGTTCCAAGGATCAAATTCACATTTAGCTTATGCCTAAGCACATAGTTGTGCGCTTTTTCTCCCTGTTCAAGGGCTCCCAGATGAGCACATGCAGCTATCACACTAACCATGACTGTCTCATTCGCCTGTACTCCTTCTGACTGTAGAACTTGAAACAGCTCAATTGCCTTGTTGAAATGGTGGTTTCGGACATACCCATTGATCATAATACTCCATGTTACTAAGTTTCTCTCTGGCATCTTATCAAACAACCTGCGTGCTGATTCCACATCCCCACATTTGTTGTACCCTGCAATCATGGAAGTCCAAGAAACAACGTCCAGATGATATATCCCACGGAAGATCCGGTTTGCTGTTCCTATATCTCCACATGTAGCATACATATGAACTAGAGAATTCTGTACATATACATCAGATTCAAATCCATGTTTAATGATTTGACCAAGGGCTTGAATACCCATTCCTACACATCCAAATTCAGCGCATGATTTCACTAAATATGGGAATGTTAGATTGTCCGGAAGGAGGCCTTCCTGCTGAAGCTTTCTATAGAATTGGAAGGACTGTTGGGGGTTCTTGCTGCCTGAATAAACTCTTACCATTGCATTGTAGATGAAGAGGTTGGGGTTTTGAATTTGGGAGAAGATTCGTTGGGCGTAATCCAGAAAGCTTGTTCCATAGGTGGGGTTTGTGCAAAAGGCGATCAGTCGGCTAGCTGCGAATAAGTCGGTGATGATATGGGTTCTGATCATATAGGCATGGATTACTTTCAGGTGAGAAATGTTGGAACAAGTTTCCAACAATAAGAGTTTTGGGTTCTTTAATCTGAGTGTTCTAACTACATAACTACTGATACCACTATTACTGCTGCTGCTACAACCATTCATGATTAGATTCCTCCAATGGTTTCGGAGATGGTTAGAAGCTTGAAAATGGGACCTGGGTGGGGAACTAGTCCATTAACATGTTCTGTATTTTTCCTGAGAAACTGGGATTCATTGCAAATGCAAGCTGGGTTTTGAGTTTTGCCAGCTTTTCCTTTAAATGATTTTTCAACTAATTGACCTTGTTTGCGAGTGGTTGCTTCCACCATCACGTTATACATTTTTAAACGGTAAGACTGGTTCGGAGGTACTCACATCGCCTGGAGGCCGGAAGTGCAGCTACAATACAGATAGATAAAGATGGTAGTTTTTCTGTGTATTTAAATATTTAAATATTGGTTTGATAATTAGAATTGGACAATTCTCTAAAACCTTCTACCTTAAATCCTAACCCAATCTATTCGAATGGTTGTCTTGTATACATCAGAGAGTGATAAAGCTCTCAGAGTATATGGAGCGGGCAGCCGGCCATGTGATTTTGACATTGTTTGCCAACTCTGGTGAAATTACGATATGGATTGTGTTTTTCACAGAAATACCATATAGAAGAGATGCAACAGAGCCGTGGAAGGAGAACTCAAAGATGAGATGAACATTGTTGATACAACAACCCAGCAGAGCCGACACATTTGGATGGTGAATATGGCCAATTGTTCCAAGCTCTCTTTAAGAACTCCTCTTTCCTCTCATTTGTAGAAGCTTTGCTTAGCCTTTTCATAGCAATTACCCATCCATCTTTCAGAACCTTTTCCGACCAGATTATTTGATACCCATCAAACCAATACACATGAATCAACTCCTTTAACAAACAAGAATCGATATTATAAAAAGAAAAACTGGGTCTTCGTAAATTTAAAGAAACAAACCTGAATTAAACCATTAGTAGCTTCAACGATTTCATCATAAGAAAAGCATCTTCAAGTGGGTTTCCAACTGAGCATCCCAATTCTATTATCTATATTCACGGTTGTGCGTGTGCGTGGTTTGTAAAATTGTCGAATCTCCGACGAACCTGATGGCGAGCGACGATTTAAGCATCTTCTCGATGAATCCATTACTGAGATCCAAATTCCATTAAGGCGATAGGATGAGCAATATCAAATTGTTCATAGGAATCACCACCATCATCATCATCATTGCTATTGTTGCTCAGTTCTAGCCGAAGAAACTCCCCAAGAAAAATTGTTCTTATTGGATGCATTACATTATATATTGTCTTCATTGGCTGGCACTTCAATTTCTTACACCGCGTTCAGACTTAAAAATGCGCTTTTTGACTATCTAATCTCCGCTGTGATAGATTGATCAGGATTCCGTTCGTTCCGCAATCAGTTCTATAAGATATTTTGACATAGCTTCTTCTTAGTCCCCCCCTCTCTTTGACTAATCTCCACCATTATTTTTCACATTAGGTGAAGATAAAAAACGGCTAATCTCCGCTATTATTTTTCAGATTAGGTGAAGATAAAAAACTGGACAAATTATAAATAATTATAGAAGAAGATGGAATTGCTTTTGCAGGATGATTTCGAAGAAAAACAACTGCATGCGAATGGGTTTCCCGTTTTCAATTAAACAAACAAACAACTTTTGCTTCCGTCTAGCATTCTGATTCTTCTGAACCAGTAACTGCTGCGCCAAAGTCAAGCTGTGTTAACAGCAAATTTATTCAAATGTTGCAGGTTAATTTATTGGAATATTACATTTTGAAAATTAAGGAAAAAACGATGGGTAGAATAGTCTTTTAATCTTTCTGTTAATCTTTTATTTTTCCACCGTAGATTTTGCATAGAAGCTGGAAAAAATTGCAAATTAACCGCTCAAAGGAGCTGCTTCACAAAACCATGGGGCTTGGGCTACGACGGCCAATGAGCCGCCCACAGGACGGGCTTGGCCAACCAAATAAGTGCGAGGAACACTGCATTGCTGCAAAAAAATAACTATAAAAAAAAGACGAATCATTTACGGCAGCTGCCGGCGCCTAAAACCCAAGCACAGCAATAAGGTGTTGCGAGTGGACGGACGCCATCTTCCTCCCGCCATCAAAAGTTTTGTTACTACGAAAATGTTAAGCTGCAAGAAGTCCTTACTATCTCAAGTCATCAAGAGAAAGACAAAGAAGAACAAAAGGAAGAAGATGAAGAACAATGAAGAGATCTCTTTCAGTACCCAGAACTCTGATCTAGAGAAACAAGAATCCTTAGAGGGAGAAGAAGAAAGAGAAGAAGGATTCGACTTGAAAAGCTCTGCTCCTTCACACAGTCATGGTGTCCAGCCATTAGGAAACTTCTTCCTTAGTACATCACCTTGCAACTCCAGAAATACAGGCCTGGGTAATCTTCGAATCCTGACAGATGAACTTGTTCTTGATATTTTAGGGTTTCTTGATGGTACCCATTTAGGTGTTTTAGCTACAGTGAGCAGGTCTTTCTATATTTTTTGTAACCATGAACCTCTTTGGAGGAATCTTGTTTTGGAAAATTTCAAGGGAGGGTTTTCCTTTAATGGGTCTTGGAAATCTACTTACGTTTCTGCACACAGGCCTTTGTCTTCTGCGTTGATTAACTGTTCGTCGGGTTTAAAAGTGAGGGATTTTTATTCCGATTATCTCTTCCAAAGTTGGCTCTGTGCGAACCTTGAAATGAAACCGGAATGGCTCGAAAGGGATAATATTGAGCGAAGGAGAGGGATTTCAGTGGAGGAGTTTATACTGAACTTTGAAGAACCAAATAAACCAGTTTTGTTGGAAGGTTGCCTCGAGAATTGGGCTGCTATGAAGAAGTGGGGCAGGGATTATCTAATTCGGGTTTCCAAGGATTTTGAGTTTTCAGTTGGGCCAGTTAATATGAAGCTTGAGGATTATTTTAGGTATGCAGATGGGGCGAAAGAGGAAAGGCCATTGTATCTCTTCGACCCAAAGTTTGCAGAGAAGGTACCTGAACTAGGTTCTGATTATGAAGTTCCCGTGTACTTCAGAGAGGATTTATTTTCTGTTTTGGGTAGTGAGAGACCGGATTACAAATGGATTATAATTGGACCTGTTGGGTCGGGTTCTTCATTCCACATTGATCCAAATTCAACATCAGCTTGGAATGCAATCGTCAAGGGATCCAAAAAATGGATCTTGTTTCCACCAGATGTAGTGCCACCAGGAGTCCATCCAAGCCCTGATGGTGCAGAAGTGGCATGCCCTGTTTCAATAATTGAGTGGTTCATGAACTTCTATGGTGCCACTAAGAATTGGAAGAAGAGGCCCGTTGAGTGTGTGTGCAAAGTAGGGGAGGTGATCTTTGTGCCTAATGGATGGTGGCATTTGGTGATCAACCTTGAGGAATCTATTGCCATCACACAGAATTATGTTAGTAGGTAAGGTTCTTTCTTGTTGTTTTCCTCTTTGCTTGCTAGAGTGGTAAAAATTCTGATAAACTTGTTTTCTTTTTATATTTATTCTTGCAATTAAATCAATACTTTAACTAAGATCAAGTGAAGACATTATGAATTCAGTTTGAAAAAGAAAAGTAACTCATTAAGTATTCTTCAATCATAAATTAAAGATTGCTACTTTAACTAAGATCAGGTAAATTCCATAATTCAGTTTGAAAAAGAAAAGTAACTTCTTTTCTGGGTTCAACTCAGTTGAAAGATTGAGTTAGTTGATCATAAAGTGAAAATTTAGATCAATATTCAGATAGCCAGAAAAACCAATGTCAATGACTTTTCATCAAATATTTCAAGTTTCCTATCTCTTATAGATAGGTTGGTGTTCTGAAGTTTTAGATGATATTACTAGAACTGACTTTATTTCTAGAGATACCATGTAATAGAAGTCTAGAAACCTATGGATGTGATATCATGTCATATAAATTCATATTTTTGGCATTTCTTATATTAAATTTGTAAGATAAAAAAGAATTAACAACTTAATAAAATACCTTTTGCTAGCTAATTCTGATATAAATCTAATTTATTTTGATTTCAATACTTGTCTTTTTAGTGAAGCTCAAAATTGTCATAGGGAAAAGCTCAACTGGTCATTGCAAGCTATAATTAAATATAAAAAACATGTTGGTTGGAACTTGGAACTCTCTCTATCTTTGATTTTGGATTTTCTGCATGTATCACATACCTACAAGAAATAAAACATTTGTCTGGAAGTAGTTTCTTCTTCTTCTTCTTGAAATCAAATTAATGTAGTTGGTAGCAAGAGAAAAGGAAGATTTAAGAATCAGATGCAATTGTGGAATTGAGTGATATCCAACTTCCAAAGGCTACTTTCTAACTCTCCTTCCCCCTAATTTGTCTTGCTTCTTGTGTTCTATTATTCTTTTGAGTCTTTGTGTCTGGTATTCCTAAGAACTTAAGTTTGGATCCTTGGGGTGGTTTTCTATAGTTATATAAGCTTGAGTTGAAAGCATGTGTAAATGTCTATTTTGGTACGAACAGCCGAACAGGATTCATGATAGGCTGTTTTGGGATCCAACACTCATTAGAGAGTTTATAGAAAAATTCTTGGTTTTGTGGAATGATTTGCTTTGGTTGTTAGTCTTAAATTTGGATGTGTTAGTGCCTGCTTTTCTTAGGATTGATGATAAATTGTTTTGCTATGGATCATTATAGAGTTTATATACAAATACAATTGCATGGACCTCTATAGAACTTTTCTCTTCTACTTCCTCTGTAGTGTTTTGGCAGGTCTAAAGTTTCATTAGTTCTTCACAATGTTTTAAAAACTGTAATCATATTGTAAATCATGGAGAATCAAATCGAATCATAAATCATAGAGTAAATTGTAAAATATACGACTTAATAAGTTTTTTACAATCTTGTCTAAAATTAAAAACAGATACATTAAAAGTTTAAGTATATATTGAAGAGTAATTTTATCAGAGTTTACCACTTGCACACTAGAAATTTATGATGATCTAATCAAGTTCAACTTGAATGTTAAATAATCCACTTATCGCGGTTTTTTAACCTACATATGATGGAAATAAACTCAATATGGAGGTGATGCCGCTGGCAGTAGTGGAAGTTGAAGATTAGTCTGCAATTAGGAGCGATACTCAGAATCAGCATAGAGTGGTGGAGGAAAATGAGCTAAGTCATGCTGCGGCAGATAGGAGAGAAGAAAGTGGCCAGATAGTGAGTGTGGGAAATTCAAATCTTGGGACCGTTGAAGCAGGTAAGTCTAGTAGCAGCACTTCTAAGTCCTCTTCCTGGGTCACTTCTAAACTTCTAGGGTTGGGGAGCTTTTTGGGGGTCTCGATGGAGGGAATGGAAGCGGAGACAGTGAAGTTCTTGGAAGAGATAGAACAAAGAATTCTGTTGGAAAGGGGTAAGATGAGGACTAAAAGAGGGGGGACAAACTCCAAGAGGAGCAGATAAATGATGCGTCTCTCTTGGGGCTTGAATGAGAAGGCTGGGAGCAGTGTTGGGGCGGTAAGGGGGTCGAAGAAAAACTGAGAGGGTGGGGGGAGTGAGTTCTAGGAGTGGGAGGTGTTGGCTCTTCTTTTGTCATATCAATGAATATTAAAATTCTTTCTTGGAATGTTTGAGGGCTGGGGTCTGGGAGAAG